ACCTGGAAAAAGGAGGTAATATTATCATAGGGCTAGAGAAAGTCAAAGGGGTATTCTAGGTGTAGAGAATAACGAAGGGGAAAAAAGCCCCAAAGTGCAACTTGGCTTGTGACGTGAGCTCGTGACTACGATGATGAAACTAGAAGACTGGGACCCTGTCTCGGAACGTTACCTGCGAGTGGTCTGGACCTTTTGTAATAGTGTGGTGCCAGGGAAGGTTTCAGGAGCAGGTGACAGAGTCAAGATAGTTGTTAGGAATACTGAATTGGCAGTGCCAGGTGAAAAGGGCTGGAAGGGTCCATGACCCTTGTGAGAGGTCAGCAGAGGCCAAGTTATGATGAATGCAAATGGCACGTCTCCATGAAATCTCTCTGAAGTTCAAACTAAGAAAACATCTCTTTTTAAAAAAGATTTATTTATTTATTTTAGAGAGAGAAGGGTGGGGCAGGGGTAGAGGGAGAAGGGGAAAGAAACTCAAGGAGACTCCCTGTTGAGTGCAGAGTCCGACACGGGGCTCAATCTCAGGACCCTGAGATCATGACCTGAGCCAAAATCAAGAGTCAGATGCTCAACCAAGAGAGCCACCCAGAGGCCCCCTAAGAAAACATCTTAAACAAAGAATACTCCTGGCAAATTAAATGCCCAACATCATGAAATGGGCACTTCATCATGAGATGTCATCAATCACCATTAGGATCACTGACGATCAGAGCTAAATGGAAACTTAGAAATCAGGTTGCAGCCTCATTTTATATGTAAACAAGCAGGTTCAAAGAATTAAGTAACGTGTCAAATGTTGCAAAGATGGCGAATGCCCAGGAGAAGATTCTAAAACTCAGCTTCCTCAACACCCGGAGGCCCGGGGAGTCCCCTAAGAAGAGCATGTGGCTTTGCTCCAACATTCCGTATTCTTTCTTAGGCACAGATGACTCCTTCGGTTTCCTTGGCCGGCGGCTCTCCGCTCTCCCACTCTTAAGGTCATGGCCCTCTCATGCTTTCGCCCATTTCCTCGGCTACACCTAGTAGCTTTGTGTAAAAGCATCCAAAGAAGAGAGAGACTCAGGTCCTGACCTTTTTCCTCAAACTGGACCTACACTGCACATCTCCACCCAAGTCCCAAAATACAGTGTATTATTTCCCTCTTTTACTCCTTTTAAGTCCCCTCCTGAAAATAATAATTCACCTAGTTATCATAGGCTAAAAATTTTGGAGTCATCTTTAATTCTGGCCCCTCTCATTTGCTACCCTAAATTCCTCTTAAAGATGCTATTTCCCTTCCATTTTACCAGCAAGGCCACGGCGCAGGACATCATTACTACCCCTTGGACTGGGACTTATATTCTAATCAGGGGCCCTGTCAATCATCTCTTCCTCAGGTAATCTGTCTTCAATTACCCTTCATTTACCTTCTTTAAATACATATTTGAACCCGTTTAAAGTTCAAGCTCTCTTGACTTCTTACTTGAATTACACAGCCTCCTAACTGAGGGGTTAGTAAATTGCTAAGGGCCAGACAATAAATACTTGAAGGCTTTGAGGACCATACTCAATTTCGCCATGATAGCCCCAATACATAATGCATAAATGATAATCATGGCTGTGTCCAATAAAACTTTATTTATGGGTATATAATCTTTATGTGTTATAAAACATTATTTTTCTTTTGTTTTTTCCCCAGCTACTTAAAAAATACAAGAACCATTTTTAGCTCACAGACAGAAAGAGACAATGGGCCATATTTATAGGCTGTAGTTGCTGACTCTGCCCTAATTGGTCTTCCTGTTTCCTACATCAGCTCTCCAAGTTTACTCTCCACACTGCTGAGTCAAAATGCCGACCCAAAGACGTGATCATGTTGACAGCCTTGCTTAAAAATATATCAGGAGTAACCCATGACTCTCAGAATGGCCAAGACTCCAGAATATAGACAAGGCCCTTCCTCTAATCCTCGTTTGCCTTTTCCAGGCTTATCCCCTGCCACACACCTAACCTGATTGTAGAGTTTGTGTCCCGTCCCATCTTTACGTCTCTGTATATATTGGTCCAGCCACCGGGGTACCCACCCCAGCTTCTTCCACTTTGAGAACTGCTATTCATGAGCAGTTTCATTTGCATTCATGAGCATTCATTACTCAAAATAGCTACCAAACATTCCTCCTCCAGAAAGCTTTCCCCATCATCTTCACCTCCAATGTAGTGAGCCAATTCTCCTTCTTATGTGCTCCTCTGGTAGCTGTATTTCTATTACTTCAGTATTCTCACACTTGATTATAACTGCATATATGCAGCTGGCTTGGTAGAGTGTGAGAAGCCTAAGGGTTAAAACTGAATCTGATTTTTTTCTCCCTACCCAAGACTAAGCAATGCACCTGAAAGATAGTAGGTGTTCAATAAGTATCTGCTGACTGGGTGAATGTTACACTTACTGGTTGGGTCTTTCAATAAATGTTGAATTTCTATTTTCCATTTTTTAAAGTAATCCCTATGCCCACACGTGGGGCTCGAACTCACAACCCCAAGATCAGAATCACATGCTGTACCGACTGAGCCAGCCAGGCATCCCTCTATTTTCCATTTTTAAATCTAATTAGACAATAAAGGGAAATAACAGACACGTGATAGCTTATTTTTCTTTCAGACGGATCTACAGATCAATACTCCAGTTTTTAAATTTTCTTCGCCCTGGGAGATCTGCATTCTTCATCGTTACTTGTAACATGGCTTTCATATTTGATTTTAAACTTTGTGCAGACTACGTCATTTGAAATGTTTACGTTAACACTAAGCTACCTGTGTGGGATTTATTTATTTTGGCTGGTCTACGCGAGGAAAGAAAGACATAATGTTTCTCAGCCACACACTTGACTGTACTGAATCAATAAAGACTGTCGAGGAAAAGCGAACTCTAAAAAAGCCCAAAAAAAGTCTATCAGAAATATTTAGCCCAACAACCAAGCCACATTTTCAGTGCAAAAGAGAGCTACACGCAGTTCTCTGCATTTTTAATTGTCATCTTTAAATTTATGAATGTGGATTTTATAAAACACGAACACAGACTAAATGTGAAATGCTTACAAAAGAGTACTGCGCTTAGAAAATGGGTAATTAAGTTTTATTTTTCCCTAAAACTAGTTTTCAATTTTTGTAGACTTGCTGTAAATAAAGCTCAACAGAAAAAGCTTTCTATGGAACCAAGCAAAACCGTTTTTCTCAAGAACAAAGGAATTAGTTACCACTAGTCCATTTTCAGCAGTTGCTGTACCTTAAATATGCTCTATTTGCAAGAAACTGGTCTTGTCAGACAGTACAAATTGATACTGCACAGGAAAATTCCCTGGAGGACTCTGACTTCAGAAATTAACTCTCTGAATAAGACAGAATGGCGAAGGGGACAAAACCAGCATTAATATTTATTTACTGAAGCTTAGCCACACTGAGACTTTGAAAGCTGTCCTATTTCTGTGGGTTAGTAGTGCTTAGCACACAAATGCTTGTTTCCCAACAGAAGTCTGACAGGAGAAAAACTATTAACTATCATGATGAAGCTAAATTTCGAAACTTCTGGGATTAAATAATCCATAGGAACTGTTTTAACATTTTATGTTCTCAGTTCGACAAGACAATACTTCGAATGGGCACTAAAAGAACCGTTCTTATTCTACCGTATTAGGCAATTTCTTCTCATAAAAGTGTTTTATCTCTTGGGATTTTTCCAGATATCTCATGTGTATAAAGGATTTCTTTTCTTTCATGCTTGTTCCCTTTCTCCTCCTTTTCTCTTTCACCGTTTAAAAAGGGAAGTTGGCAAACCATTTGGAATATTATCATAACAAAATGTTTTTAACAAAGTTTGATTTTAACAGAACTAGAGGCATCTTAACACTAACCCAAAACTTTGGGAGGTTCACCAACCTCTAGGATATTTTTTTCTCGAAACGCAGGCTGTTCAAGTGGTGCTTTTCTCCATCTGTTATCATACCGTGCTCAGAATTACATTGTCATATTTAATGTAAAAGGGATCAGTCCCCTTTCATAGTTTAAATTCAACATATTACTATGATTAGAAGACCAGCGTTTTTCTAATTTGTGAACCAAACCGAAGCTCATAAACTTCCATGTGTATTTAGACAAAGTTCTCCATAAAAACTGAAAAACTCTTCAGAACTGAACAAACCCAAATGCTTGCTGTGAAACATGAAAAACTGTACTAAAACCCGAAGTGAGAAGAAACCACTTCTCTGGTAATGTGAAATTTCTGCTACCTCTATCTGAATTTCCTCTGTGTATGTGCATTTGTGTGTAGGCGTGCGTGTGTGTGCGTGCGTGCCTTTTCCATACAGCGGATTATATAGTGCTGCTACCTAAAATGTCTCCTTGTCACCTAGGGCTGAGCCACACGTTCCCTAAAGTTGTATGACATTGATAATCACGTTGCAGTATCTTGTGACAGAAACCATGTAACTCGAAACCACAAGAGCACGGTTATAATAACGGTTTGAATGTGAACACTGTCGATCAAGCTCATCTCTCACTTCTATACCTCCTTAGGACTCAAGTTCTGTATCTTCTCTGCGTTCCGTCTCAGCCTGCACCCGAGGGTGTCTTTTACTTTGTCTCGTTCACCACTGACAGAATCTGATTCTTCTCCTAAATATATTCCTCAGATCTTTCACTTCGACATTTTTATTAGACACAGAATTAACAGGAGAGGTAGTGGCGGTGGTAGGAGAAATATGTCATGTTGCTCCTACTGGTAGAGAACCTCCTAAATATTTGAGCATTGTCGATGAAAGGTTTTGTAATATATCAGTAATCCCTGCCACACTCATCATTCACATGTCTGGGTGTTTTGCTTACCACATCTCCACTTTTCTTAATATGCCTGAAAGCTGTGTGTGAATCGAATGACTAAGACTAACTGGAGCAACTGTGGGGAAGCGGGCGGCAGAAACCAGTGGGACGGAATGGGGGCTCTGGCGCGTGATGGGATTAGGGAGTACCTGGTGAGGTGCAGTTGGCGCTGGGATTCACTCAGCAGCTCCGTCAGTTTCAGGCACTCCTCTCTGGCCCGGGCTGCCTCCTGCTGCTCCTGTTCCAAGTGCTGCTCGCTTTCACTCACTTCTGATCTCAATTTCTCTATTTCCTTAGGTGGAGGGGAGAGGGGGGAAAGCATCCGTATCAACTATATGCACTTGAGTTCAAAATTCTCTCATTTTTATGTTTGCTATGAATTTTAATGTGATGAAAAATTATTAGAAAACTGAGGCTAGCTTCCATTTTATGACAAAGGGAATTAACACAGCCAAAAATGCACATTAGTGAGGTTTTCTTGGATCGGAAGATGCAGCCTAATTTCAGGAATGAAATGATTAAATGAGAGGAGTCAAAATGGATAGTCTGTACTTTCATTCTTAAGGCTCGGTCCCTTTAAAAAATATGAACTTAAAAATGTCACTACTTTAAAAATATAACATTTTTGTTTGTGAGATTAGATCAGATGCATGCAGTGATTTACACGTGACTACTCTGAAAGGTGTATTTATGGTTTCATTTGGATGTTTTGAAAGCCTAATTAAAGGGTAAAATAATACATCTTTTAGAAAAATGTGAGGTGTAAAAGAAGGCATCATTATGATGCTCAATATCATTTGGGGAAAAATATTTTAGGAAAAAATATGGCACAAGAACCTTTAAGCGTTTAGAGCACACGAGATTTCTGAGATAAAATAATATTACACTAAAATGGTACTAAAAAAGGTAACAAAAGCACTCTAAGACTAATAAATGTGAACATCTAAAATAAATGAAAATTTATGATAGTTTATTATTTGGTCTCAGGATGAAATTATCCTTATCTTACTGAAACTCAAATATTTCAAAGCAAAAATACCTTATATAGAATGCAGGTTTTAAATAATTTATACACTAAAGTAGAAATATTTATCATGGAACATCTACAATTTAAAAAAAAATGAAAGATAAATATTCAGAGTGCTTAAACCAGAAAATCAAATAAAAGGGAGTAAAAGGTAGAAACATTTTCACATTCAGCAGAAAGCAAGAAGCAATTTTAATTCACAAAAATGCAATCTCCTTTTGGAAAACAAAGTCATATCTAAGTAAAGTGTTTTAAACTTAGTATTTAAGTACATTTCAAATTTCCTGATGTCATTACACAATACGCTGAGCACTTTCCAACTGCATTTAACACATCAGGCAAGATAAAATAATGATTCGGGTTTTTCTGACATTTACTACACCATAAATATTCAGTTTATCCCCATCAAAACCGTATATTACCCATAATTTAATAAAACAACTTATAACGAGTTCTCAAATATTTTTAGTTTCAAAAACCTACACAATAACGAGTCTATCACTTTCACTCAGAGTAGATTTCCTATATATTTCAGATCAGAATACTAACTGCCACTGATCTGTTTCTGTAAAATATTTCAAACTGATAAAGTTATACCAATTTATTTCTAATCCCATAATTTAATATAATTTAAGATATGAAAAAACATCAGTCTATTAAGTTTTATTCGCCTAACATGCAATTAACAAAAGCAAATGTGTATAGAATTGGAAATAATGTTGACTTTAAAACTTCAAAAATTCACTCACTAATTTTGTACACAATGCTATATGCAAGAAACCATCCTAGGTATCACGGTGAGTTCAGAGGGCTTCTATCCCTATACTCAGGAGTTAACAATTCAGGTGGGTAAATGAGATGTACACACGCACACAAAACTATCAAAATACAAAATACATAAGAAACAAGTGAGTGGTAAAGAAAATCTGTGCTTCAATAGGTCAGATTAGGGAAATATTAGCATGGTCAAGAAAAGTGGGAAGAAGGTAAGGGCACATTAACCATCGAATGACAGATGAGACCGTATCGTGAAAGGTCTTGACTTACTTCCAGATTAATAAAGCTGTATTTTTCTTATAGATAATGGAGAGATATTAATGGCTTAAACAATTCAATATGAGAGAAGTTCCTCTTTAAAACAACTGTTTATGAGTAATTTAAGATGGCAGAGGTGGGCAGAAGGGAGACCACGAAGAGAGTTGCAATATTCTAGACGTGAGAATAGAGACACTTCAAATGAACGTAAAGTTGGTGAATACATGGAAATAAAAGGAGAGGTATCAGGAGATATCAGAGGCGATTCCAGAATTCTGAATTTAGAAGATACCAAAAAATAACAGAAAATGTATAAAATCCCAAAGTTTCTTAAAGAGAAAAGATGTGACAATTTTTATAAGCACTGTGTGGTAATTGCCTTTGGAGTACAAATCAGCTGCTTTCTTGTTTTCATATAACAAAAAGTCAGAGGCTGCACTGAAAGCCAATCAAACACAGAAAGAAAAACATGGGCCCCCGCTTATTATCATGAGCACTGGATGTTACATGTAAGTGATGAATCACTAAATTTTACACCTGAAACCAATTTTACCATATATGTTAACTAACTAGAATTTAAATAAAAACTTGAAAAAACAAAACAAAACAAAACACACATGGGCCCCCAAAGTCAACACAAATCAGGGCTTCAGACACAGCTCTGGCACTTTCCAGTCGTGTGACCTTGGACAAGTCACTCGACTGTTAATCAGATTCTGCAGTTTAACACGGGAGTAATGGCGGTAGCAAGCTCCCAAAGCTATCGGGAAGATTAAATGAGATGCTGAGTACTTATCAGAGTGTCCAGCACATAGGAAGAGATGAATAAAACACAGTTAGTATTATTATTGCTGCTTGTTTTCTCTTTGATCTTTCAAGGAGAGCAAGGTGGGGCAAGTAGAAAAATGGACGGGCCAAAGGATATATGGCTATCACCAGAGTTCTTGACTTAATTCAATACAATTTTCCCCAGAATTCAGAGGAAAACGGAATAAAACTTTATTACAGTTGCAAAATGCAAAAAGCATTTTTCTTAGGAAGATGGAAAATTACTGCTTCTGATTGTCTGTGCCAGAAAAAGAGCTTATTGGTGCAGATCATCAAAATCAACAAATAGTCTAACCAGCTGGACCAGGGCTCAACACTTACTCCCTGAGTCAGGAAAATCTGCCATGGCACCAACTCCAACAGTCAGAGGAGGGATCTCTTGCCAGAAATGCCATGCTCCCCCTGGCAGGATAACCCTTTGCCTCACCCAACTAGGTCAGCACTGCTTGCCTGGCTGTACAGAGTGGTTCTGGGATAAAGGACCAACAGTCAGAGGCCAGTGGTATATGACTCCCAAAGTATTCCATTAACCTGCAATGTCTACAGTGCAGTTTGGTGCCCCCATCGTCTGGCTACCTAGGCAAACACAAGTCCAGAGAGCATTACACTTTACCAAAAGATATACTTCTCGTGGTTACTGAATGTAACACGAGAACTAAAAGTAGAATCTGTTAAAAGTGGCTTTCTCAGGAGAATCGTACCAAGGATCAGATATGGAGAAAAGCAGACTTTTTACTGTTTATAGTCTTCTATACCACAGGAAGTTTTTTTTTTCTTCTTGATCATGGACATATGTAACTTTATTTTTATTATTCATTAGTTTTTCGTATCAGGGTAATTCACCTAATTTAAGTCAAATAGTACTCAACGGCTCATAACAAAGAAGGGCAGCGCCCATGCTCTACCCTGTACCCATCTCCAAGCCCGATCTTCAATGGCTCACCCTGTCTACTTTCCTGATATTTATCTTCATATTTTATATGACATACTTATAACGCTATTTCTTGATTTTGCAATATTAAACATTATCTACTGACTTCCTACAGTAAAAAAGTAACAATTTAGGTCACTCAACAGACTTATCTCATACTCCCATCTAACAATTCTGGTTAAATCATAAGTCACTAGTTCATTTATATTATAATGATTATAGAAATATTGTTCACTCCTGAGACAAATATTATTTTGATTCAATTTTTATGCAAGATTTTATTATTTCTGGAATTAACTGCCTACTTTTGAATAGCTTTTTTTTTTTTTTTTAGGTACCTGACATTTCTTCCCCAATGTTCAAACAGATCTGTCAAATACCCATCAATATTTTATTTTCAAATAGTAAAACACATCAGAAAAATAACCAGTTCCTTTTAAAATTTCCCCCTAGATATATTCTTCTTGGTGCCTCTGTCTGGCCTCATTGATCTCTGTCTTGGGTCAAGCCTTAGACATGATCCTATTAGAGTTTCCTGTTTTCTGGCTGGTAAGTCATCCCATTTTTCAATTTACTTCCTTTTTTAGTTAAAGTACATTCTCCAGGTAACTTTCATAAGAAAGAATATATGAATAATACATTTTTAAATTATCTGCATGCCTGAAAATGTCATTTTTCTATGTATCCACTGATAGTTTGGCTAGGTATAAAAAAAATCTATGTTGAAATTAATTTTTACTCAGGATTTTTTTTTGAGGTTAGGTTTACTTTTTTTTTTTTTAATAAACATATAATATATTTTTATCCCCAGGGGTACAGGTCTGTGAATCGCCAGGTTTACACACTTCACAGCACTCACCATAGCACATACCCTCCCCAATGTCCATAATCCCCCCCCAACCCCCCTCCCCCTCTTAACCCTCAGTTTGTTTTGTGAGATTAAGAGTCACTTATGGTTTGTCTCCCTCCCAATCCCATCTTGTTTCATTTACTCTTCTATGAGGTTAGGTTTACTTTTTATGTATTAAATTTTATTTTGTTTTTCCAGTGTTCCAAGATTCATTGTTTATGCTCCACACCCAGAGCTCCATGCAATATGTGCCCTCCTTAACACCCACCACCAGGCTCATCATTCACCAAAGCCCTCAGTTTGTTTCTCAGAGTTCACAATCTCATGCTTCATCTCCCTGTCCGATTTCCCTCAATTCACTTTTCCTTTCCTTCTCCTAATGTCCTCCATGTTATTCCTTATGTTCCACAAGTAAGTGAAACCATATGATAATTGAGTTTCTCTGCTTGGCTTATTCCACTCAGCATAATCTCCTCCAGTCCCATCCATGTTGATATAAAAGTTGGGTATTCATCCTTTCTGATGGCTTGGTGATATGCCATTGCATACAAGGACCACATCTTCTTTATCCATTTGTCTGCTGAAGGGCATCTTGGCTCTTTCCACAGTTTAGCAATTGTG